TGAAACAAAAATTCCTTGCAAAATTTTGATACAACTTCATCCACTAAACCTATCGCTAACCTAACCAAGATGTCACATTTTAAAGAAGATCGAAACATGTAAATCTTCAACCAATAGAAAGTGAGAGGAAGTTAGTAAATAACGCATGAAGCTCGATTCTTAGCAAACATATCCATATGATTATTTTCTTATAACTTGCTTCTTGTCAATGAAACTTGAAATCCTGATAATAGGTTTCATTTGCAGCACCTATGTCTTACCATACGTCCCGTTATTTATAACGGCAATATCTAGTTTGACAATAAATTTTTTATAAACCGAGTATAAATATAAACAAAGTACGTGATGATAGAAATTTAGGGCTAGGGATGTATGAATAAAACGTCACTTTCTATGTGTAAAACTTTGCTCCTGACATTTTTTATTAATGCAAGGCCTTTTAAACATTAGTTTTTGTGTATTTTCGCTTTCTTTGCCTTTTTTCTTCTTTCAACGATCGTTCATCCTTGTAAATTTTGACCAACCAAAATTTAAGATCAGGTGTAACGTGATAGTCAAAACAAACGTGTTTGTTTCTAAGTGAAAAGTTGCGTGCAAAATTAAAATTAAGTTATAGTTAGGGTTAGAACTAAGATAATGTGATATCTGCTAGTAAAATTTCACAAGTAACATTTTTAATTAGACCGCAGAAGGTAATTTCCTAATTAAAATTTAGAGCTATTTTACGTTACATTTGATCCTGAAATTCGATTGGTCAAATTTACAATTTTTGTGGGCGTCAAAGCGAAGCGAGATTTAGAGTTACCTTTTTGATGTAATTATGGTGTGTGGGTTTTATAGATATCAAAATATAATTTATGCAGTATGTCGATCATATATTTATTTAGCCCACCCCTTTTTAAGGAAGTCAGTATTACCGCGAAACCAGTTATTGGTTAATAACCGTGTTTTGGTCGATTAGCCCTAAAATAAATAAACTAAAAAAAATTTGGTAGTTTTTATTATTAAAGGTAACTAAAAGAATAGATAAAGTTTATTTCTTTTTGTTTAAGTCAAAATAATCTTTATATAGTTTTTTTTTTTTTTGGTGTAGCCAAGATTTCTAAATGACGTTACGGACATCAACTTAAAAACGAACGAAATACACTTTATAAAGCAAAAAAGTTAGGCAACTCGCTAGAGGCGTGACATGGCAATTTAGAAGTGCCTGAGATTATATTTACGAGAAGCAAGTAATATTTTTTCAGGATTCTTGGCCAACTTCGCTGCTTTTTCAGATACATGATTTCTTCGGCTATTATAAGGTAGAAAGTTCTAAAAAAGTTTTGCGCATTGGAAATTTTCGATTTAAAATCGAAAATTGTAAGCGCAAGACATTTATGTGCTATCAAAATCTGCTATTACGGGAATCTGGTCCTTGTAGGATCCAATTTCGAAGAAATTTTTGGGCTTCACCGTAGCATCATGAAACAATAATCGCATTTAGGGAACATGAGCCCCAGAAACGACTACGCCTTTTACTTGAATAATGTCGGATGTAAATTGTCATATAAAAAATTGTTTCTTAAAAAGTAAGCTTCTGGCTAACTAGATGTATCGGAATTGCTTACTTATCTTACTAGGTTTTTTTTTTTTTTTTATATTAGCAATCTAAATGAGCATAAACAAGTTTTACTTATAAAGCAATATATTAGATTGCCAGAGGCGTAACTTGATGATTTAGCAGATGTTTAAGATTAATATTTACGAAAAAAGTAAGTAATTTGCAATATTTTTTGGCCAGCTTCACTGCTTTTTTAGAAACATGATGCCTTTGGCTATTATAGGGATATCAATTCCGGGAGAGGTTTTGGGTTTTATTTATAATACCATAAGATATATTCACATTTAGGGAACATGAGCCCTGGAAACGGCTACGCCAGTCAATTTTGACTATCGTCGGGGTGAGTTGTCTTATTGAAATTGTTTTTTTAAAAAAGTAAGCTTCTGGCTTACCAGATGTAATTGAATTGCTTATAAAGTTTATCTTACAAAAAAAATTTTTTTTAATATTAGTAATCTAAACGAGTATCAAATTTTATTTATTAATATTATTATGTGCATCTCAAAAAAAAAAGGTGAATAACCTAAAATAATGTATGTTTATATTTTTAAAAAAACTTAATGATTATTTACTAATTAAGTTATTTAAAACAGATTATTCATTCTTTAGTTTATTTCACGCTGATCTAATAAACAATTGTTAATCGAAATATTTAAATTAAATTAAACTTAAGAAATTTTATTTTATTTTTCTGATCTATATTATTTTATGTAGCCAAACCCCTATTAAACTATTTCTATTTTTCCTATTTGCATTGATTTAACTTGAGTATAACTACTATTACCATATCTTTTAACTTCCTATTCGTGCCGATTTAGTTTAAATATAACAATCAAGTTATTTATATAAACTAATAAATACTCAAGTCTTGTTTTACTTATTCGTGTTAAGGCATTACTTTATGGTATTCGAGAATTCATTCGTAATTACGATAACAGCTATAGGCTTTTGATTTTAAAGATTTTTAGACTAGAAGAAATGAAGCTCAAAATGGTTACAGGTTAAAATCTTGACAAACAAAATCCCGACAAAAATTGACCGGAACTATGGTTAATACGGGCTAGGCTTGTCGGGATTATGACCCTGTCGAGATTTTGTTTGTCGGGATTTTAACTTGTAACACTCAAAAGTTTTTTATGATTCGATAAAAGAATATCGCCACTATATTTTTTATTTAGACATTTAGTTTCACAAATATGGAGTCACTATAGGAAAAGCTTTGAGAAAACAAGTGTCATATAAAAAAAAAGATCGACATATTACACTAAATTAACATTTTGGACCACCATATTAAAGCCTGTTAATTATAAGCTAAATTTTGACAACATATTTAATATATACTTATTAATATTGCGTGTATGCATGCATAACCAGATCTAGGCTCTATTTTTTTAATTCCTAATGCACTTATAAATGCTTTTTCGACAACCACCTATTGAAGAAATCCAAACTGGAACGAGGTTGATCGTATGGAACCATATGTCCCGCTTCAAAAACTCTTAAAAAAGTAAGTCCTTTGTAAGTTCTAGCTTCACCCGCATACACAGATTTATCACCTTTGACCTTCCAAGGTCTAGTTTTTGCATCATTGAATCCTTGTTTGCCACTCCAATCTAATTCTTTAGTCCATGCATCGTTCCCTGGAGAATCATAATGATAATATGGAATTAACTATTTGAAGAACAAACGTAATACATTCAAAAGAAATATAAGCATACCAATCCAATTACAGATAAAATCTGCATCTCCCGCATATATTAAAATACGTATACCATCATCCAAAAGAGGTGGAAGTAGAATATGAAAAGGGTTCATTCTTAACAAAACAAACCATGTTAACATCCAGTACGAAATGATAATATCTTAAAAATAATGCAACACTTACAGATCGCCAGCCATTTGAAATCCAATAGTAACCTGCGTATTACAGATTCTATACCTCAACCAAGGGTTTGCACCTAGCTCTTCCCTAATATCTCCCCTGTTTAAATATTTTTCAATATCATCTATGCCTGGATAACACAAATCCCCACCATCACATTGTTTCCTTACATCATAAGGATTTCTGTTAGTTGAATAATAAGGAAGAACGATATGTTTGTTACAATACATCGAAGAAGTTAAACAAGTTGCAGTAGCACCATCATAACATCTTTTAATCATCTTAGCACAAGTCGCATAAGCATCACGCATTTCGTTGCAAGTCGAAATATCGAGTACTGGATCGTAGGATGAATTGCAAGCCATGTCTGGATAATATTTATATTGGACCAACGGGTCTACTATACCGTTACCTATCAGAATGGATTCCAGGTTTATATGAGAAAGGGACTTTGGTTTTTTGTCGAGGATCCAGGGTGATGTTCCTTTATTGTTATTGTTAATTTCAGCAGCTATGGCAGGAACATAATGACCTGCGTATCTACAAATAATATAGCATTATCATAAATGATCATACAGTATTTTTAAATAAGATAAAAATACCTACGATTCGCCGGCAACGTGAAAGTCCAAGTGTGCATATTGAGGATACTCTTGGAAAAAGATTTGTAGAAATGCGTAAACATCAATGGATGCCGCAAAGGTCGTTCTCACTTTGGAACCATAAGAGTATCCAACATTCGTTGGCTAGGCGGATATTAATAATATAAATCAATTGTTACATTGTAAACATTGATTACATATTGACTATAAAAATAAAATACTTGATCCAAGAAAATGATGCTAGCATTAGTATTCCATGAATAAGGATTGATAGTAGTATCAGCTCCATCTTCATTAACTGTGCAAGGGCCAAGTTCAAAAAACAAGCCAGCTAAAGAAGAGCAACTAAAAATATGATCGATATCAATCGATACAAGTACGGAAATAAAATAATAATAATGATTCAACTAGCATACTTACCCCGGACCACCATTTAGCTATGAAAAGCAATAGTAATAACTAAGTTACTATATATAGGATTGAATAATTAACATCGATATCAGATACTTACCCAAAGAACAATAGGATCGTTGCTTGGATTATTTCTAGATTCAAAGAACCAAAAGAAGAAGTGTTTCTTTTTACTAATATCAAGATATCCAGAATACTAAAACAATATATGGATTAAAATTTAGTAAAACCAACAATTTGCAATAATAAATTCACCTAAATACAGTATATGGACCTGTTGAACAGAAGCATCACATAATTTTGGTTCTTTTAGTCTAATTTGGTAGTCAGGGAAGTCTTGATGACTTAAAATTTTAGTCCAACTACCATGACCCAATTTATTATCTAGTAAATAAGCTTCGAATTTTTCTTTTAACCAATTACCACCAACTTTTACAAGATCATCTTGTTGAATGAGTTGTTGAGCCAAGAAAAAAAAGCCAATGAAAAATGCAATTATAATAGTCACGAAAGAAATAAAACGAGGTCGTGAATCAAACAGCATATTATTGTCATATGATAACAGCAGAATATTGATTCAATCATATTTTATGCTGAATGATGTGTGGCATGTACGTACGCACATACAAATCTAGCATTGTGAATCTTTTGTGTGACATCTTCTGACAGGAAGGCGCCGAAGGGAATAAATAAAGCTTATCGTTATCTAACGTTAACAAATGTTACTATGTTAGTTTCAACCTCACATGATTGTACAATCGTAGTCATGAAATAGCAAATTAAGAGTGTTCTCAAGCACCTCATTCAATGGATCGGAGGCAAAGGTTTAATTAGTCGGAAATTAAATAAATTAGCCAAGGAGGTTACCACTTCAGTGAAAAAAATCTGGAGTGCAGGCCATCTTTTTTCATAAAGTTTCTCTGATTGGTTAAAATTCAAAATCCGCATTTTGCCAATGAAATTTAGCAAGTCATATTTCTATTTATCACATTAACCATTCAATTGATCGCAATGATTTGACCATCCCGATCACTAACTAATCACATTGAGGGAGAACGCCCTAATAGTTAAATTAATACAGCAATAGTTTAATTGATTTTATTGCTTATACAGTGTAAATGAATGGTACAATTGTCTTTTTGATAGGGACAAGTAGGATTTCAAGCATGTTTGATGAAGATTATCAAAATATTCATAAGGATGAAACATCTGGTAGTGAGCATGTTTGTTTGCTGAAAGAATTGGTTAAATTTTATTGACGTTCTCAACATATATTCAATTAATTTAAAATCCAGTCATTACCATATGCAAATATGGGCATATTGTTTGTCTTGAAAATAATGCTAATCTTTTTGGAATCAACAAGCTCCACATGTCCTCCTTATATCTCATTAATCCAGAACCTGTTATAAAATTTCAATAAAATAAATTTCCCTGACTTCATCTGTATTTTTTCTATGATCTATCCAATAATTCAACTAGTATGCCAACTCATTCTCTGAACAAATAAAATCAAGCTCTCTGCTTCATTTCTAAGTTCATCAACCACGCCTTTATTAAAATAATCATTTGGAATTTCGTCCTTATACTAATAAGGCCATACAAAGTTAATTCATTGTTTTTATAATACCGACTTTGATTTGGAGATATTACAATTTAAATTTTAAATTTTTTTTTTACTTTTCTAAAAAGACATCTGGTTATTATTAAAAAAATTTTTTTTTGATTTACAAAATTTGACCTAACCGGACCTTCTCAATTTATATGTAAAAAAAATATATATGGGATCTTTGCTAGGAAAATCACCCTTCGACATTTTTTCCGATCGGGCTAATTCGGAACAGGGACGATGATTTTGTGATTCACAGAAAACAGCAGAATTTCTCTTAATCACAGCCAACCACAGAAATCACCCTTAGTCACCACAGAATATCGCAGAATTCCAAAAAATGTGCAGAATATCACAGAATTCATAATATATCGCAAGATTTGACAAGCCGGCGTCGGGAAATCCCGTAAAGGTAGACAATAAATCAACATAAAATTACGAGCTTGTCACCAGTGAATTACGGAATTATTTGTTTGGAAAAATTTATAATCGCATTAAATCACAGAAATTATAATATAGTATACAGAATTGCAAAAAAATTATAAATGTTATCACAGAATTAGACAAAAATTTTATCACATTAAATCACAGAATTTGTCTTAACCACACGCAGAATTTAGTCCTAACCACCGCAGAAATCATCGCCCCTGATTCGGAACATTTTAAACCAACGTGCCGGTTCTTATTTACATGTAAATCATTTTTTGCCCTTACTGATTCAATAACTTATCGAATGAACGTTTGAATCAATAAAAGCAAAAATGATTTACATGCGAGTAAATACCGGTAAATTGGTTTGATGTCATTATTATAATACGACAGGGTGAAACCCACGCAGAAATAGTTACATTATTGATGCAAATCCTATCTAAAATAGTAACTAAGTATAGATCTATCAATAAAGTTATCGTATGAGTGCGTGAGAGTGAAAACCTGGAAATATGAATTACTATGATTGGTTACAGGTTTTCACGCACTCATATTATAATAGGACGGGGTGAAACCTGAGTTTATTTTTATTATCAGTGCGGATACTAAATTCGTGTATTTTTAAGTTACCTTTTTAATGCATATCTACAATTAATTAGTGTTAGGCGGTGGTGTACATCAATAATGTTTCACCCTGTCGTGTTATAATCATAGCGCGAGTAATACAAACTCCAAAAGGAAATATCCAATCAGAGCACAAATTTTGATTATTCTGGATAAGCCCGACATGAATTTCAAAGCGAAAATACTCAAAAACTATATATAATATCTAAATCGCATGTCGGAACGAAATTTTACATTCGTATAACGAATGACAATTTACTGCCGTAGTCTCTAATGTTAACGCCCTAACCTCATAGACTTTCATATGATTGGCTGTTAAATCAATTTAATTTTACATTATTTATACAGTTTAAAGTGCTTTTTAAAAAAAATAAAACTACAACAAATAAATAAGTAGAAAATTTTATTAGGATTGTATAACTTTACAGTTGAAAATAATCAAAATCCCCTTTTATTCAGAGCAGTTATCATGATAATAACCTATTTTTCAGAAGTCGTTATTATGCTAACTTTCTTTAAAACAAAATGGGATTTTGATTATTTTTAATAATGGAGTCCTACGACCCTAATAAAACCTTCTATATATATTTTTTATTTATTCTTTGTAGTTGGATTTTTTAAATAATATAAAATTAAGGATTTTATTTTTTATCACCATAGCGATGTATCGCTACTCCTGAGACTTAGCTGTCGCGTCGCGTGATGTCGGGGTCAAACGCCGCACATGATTAGTAATATAGATAACATATAGATTACTAATCATACATGAAGTTTGAATATTGAAACCCCGACATCACGCGACGCGACAATTAAATTTCGGGATTTGACTTAGACCCGGGTAGCGATAACAGAAGGAAACGTACCCGATCCAAAGTGAATCCCACACATGGTGTGATAAATTAAAACTAATATAAATAATTTCAGTTTTAATTTATCACAATTGATCACACCATGTGTGGGATTCACTTTGGATCGGGTACGTTTCCTCCTGTTGGTATGTATAATAATTCATAATTATTGGATGTGAAGATCCAATAATTCAAATAACTTTTGAGTTATTCAGCCATCTCCTTATACGTTATATAAAAAATTCGTTCGTCTGGAATGAGTAAAACTTTGTACAGTATGGGACATCCAATCTACAATCCTTGATGCTTACATCATCAAGTTTGATTGTAAATTAGCTTTGGTTAATCAATATTTTAAATGAGTGTGGTCAAATTAAAACTGGTTTTATATAAATCATCATATAAAATGCTCTGGGTGACAAATTGTCTAGATCAATTTGTTAAATACATACCGTATAAATGCGGAATAATGCCCACCTGCGCGTTATTTCGAATACGCCCATGTGCGTTATTTCGAAATATAGATTAAATAAACCCTCTTCATTATAAGAAGTATAGTAAGAAATGAAAGTGCAACTACGTAAACCGGCTTTTACCATTGTTATAATTGTCTTAATAAAGAATAACTTTTGTTAGATCGCGAAAGCAGGTTTATTTAGTACCAAATCGTTCCGAAGCACTTTTTATTCTTTATTTTTTTATAGAGGATGCGCGCTAATTCAGGACGCACATGGGCGTTAATTCGAAACTACGTATACTATTTTTAAAGGTTCAGATTTTCAAAATAACGCCCAAGAGCGTTATTCCGCGTTTATACGGTACTATTTATATTAAAATGTGACAAGTAATTTGTATGATTTCATATATATACTTATAGTTAGAGATGCAAATCGGCTTTTCGGCTCTATTGATTAATCGGTTTTTATTATACTGAATATACAAGCCGATCGTGCCGTTTTGCATCACTACTTATAGTAAGATTGCTTTGATGAAAACAAATTTTTTATTCACAGGTTTTAAATTGACCGCACTCAAATAAAAACCATCTGACAAAAATGTAGTATGACTAAGAATATTCAATTTGTTTGAGGATTTATTTTTTGGCTTGTATTAATAAAGTTATAATGATTTAAAGCTTTTGCTAATAGAAAATAAATGTGATTTGCTGTCCGGTACTGTATAACACAAAGCGATATATATTAGACAAAATTGAACGTTTGGATATCTTTGGTTTGGAAGTCCAATCCAAAGTCCATTCGCGGTTCTTGACACTAAGTTTTGAACCAGGTCCTAGTTTTAAATGATACATAAATTTCATTGCATGTGAGGAGAGATTATTCAGCTCTTATAGCACGCATGCTAGATCATGTATTTGTTCAGCATCTCTGTCATAGTAGTAATTCATAAAATTTTAATTATAGTTTTGCCACTTTACTCTGGGAAATTTCATCTCAACAAATCCCATTTGATGGCCTTAGTGACCAAGAAGCAAAAGAAATGGTTATAAAAGGAGTACGTCCAAGTCCATTTTCAGAAAATACACCAGAACAATATGAAGAAATTGTCGAACAGGCCTGGGATCATGATCATAATAAACGACCAAAAATTGATTACTTACTAGAACAACTTGAAAAAATTAAAGCAGAAGTTGAATTGCATCAAAATAAATCTGCAATTTCTTCTCCTACATCTCCTACATCTCCTACATCTATTAAGAAATACAAATTTAATGACTTAGGCAATGTGCCATCATCGTCTTCATCTCAATTACTACCAGTTGAACGAATAATATCAGAACTCCACAATAAAGGGAAGTACGATGAAGCTTTTGCCCAATTCGAGCAACTGGCACAAAATGACGACCCTTTAGCCTTATACTATACTGGTTTATATCTCTACGAAGGAACTTATGGCAGTATTAAAAGAGATGTAATTCGAGCATTGCAATTTTTTCTAAGATCTGCTAAGCATGGTAAAGCACAAAGTAAATATAAGTATGCTTATGCCTGCCTCACAGGGCCTTATTATTCCTTTGAAGAAGGGATAAATTATCTTAAAATGGCTATGAAAGATAATGATCCTGATGCTTTATACATGGCTTCTCAGATATATTTAAATGGAGAACATGGCTATCCAATTGACAATGCTAAACATCAAAAGTATTTAAAAGATGCAGCTAAAAATGGATCAACTATTGCACAAAAGGATCTTGCAATACTGTGCATGTAATATGTTATAATTGTTATTCTTTTTATTGTATATCTACTTTATTGAAAATTATATTAAAACTTTCATTATTTAATGGGGTTATATTTTGTTGTTTTGTTTTCTTTACTAAAATTTTTATGGAGCTACTAAAATGCATCATAGGCGTTAAACATCACTAGCGAAACACCATGATAATTTAAATTTTATAGTAATAATTAAAGTACTTATCGCAAGAAAGCAACGTGAAATTGAATCCAACATGAGGTACTATATAAATATGTCAAATGATAGTCTTTCCCTAGTACTGTTACTCTTAAAGTTAAATCCAACGATAGTAATCAGATAAATGTATTCTATGATCAATCTTTAGTACGAAGAAATTCGTCTGATTGGTTAATTTTTATGGATCATTCGTGATAATTAACCAATTAAATTACATAATTTTAAAACTTTAATACGATACTACTACATAGAAAATAAAGAAAACTTCGTATGAAGAAGTTCATAAATGATTAAATATACAAAGAATGAATTTATTTTTCAATATATAGAAGATAGATAGATACACGTAAAGTGGAGGAAAATAGCATTCATTACTAATAAACCTAAACTCATTAATACAATCCACGATCTATAACCAAAACTTATTACGATTGCAGGACAAAAAACCAAACATAGTTCAAATTTAATAGTTAGTAATAAAGTTTTTTAAAGCTAACGTAATAAGGCAGTCTTGAACAAAAACATTCCTGCTTACCTTCATTTTTTCAATATAATTTGAGATAGATTGTCCAATAAACGTTAGATATATTTTGTCTTCTAAGTAAAGTTCGTCGGAAGTAAGTTCTTTTTTAGATTCTTTTGCACACTGAATATTGACGCCATTCTAAAGCTATGAATGGTTTTTGCGATGATTTTTGTTATAATCATTGTGCTACTAAAAAGTACTTTAAATTGTATAAATAAGTTCTCCCTGATAAAGTAAAATCCATATTAACGATAGGAATTAGTGACTAAATTCCGTGATGCTTCATTAAGAGACCCATGACGTAATTAAGAGTTTAATTAGTACCCTAGCCATGGCGAAAAATAACTACCCCAGTATCGCCATCAAAAATGTCACTTTCACTGACGATCTACATTGATTAGCCAATAATTAATCAACGTCAATTTTGTCAAAAATCGAAAATTCACATAAGAAACCGCCTTTCGTCACTAACAAAAAAAAATTCCTTGAGTAATTTTACTATACCCCCTCATTCTCTAACCTTAGTTTAAACGCTAACCCTAATATAAACGAACTTAAAAGTTTTTTTTTCGATGGTCACGTGAAAGTGGGGAAGATGCGAAAAAGGGAAGATCTACGGACACCACCAGTCATGTGATTTTGCACCCACCAGATCACGTGATATACCATATGCCATCATAATTATATCACGGTTACATC